AAAAAAAAAAAAAAAAAAAGAGAGACTGTTTCTTTGAAAAATGGTTAGTAATTTCTAATCAAAGAGAGGGGGAGATTTCACGGTCATACATATCTGTCTGTGCAACATCTCCTGCACATTTCTCAAGTTTATCAGCAAAGGCAGTAATAATTAGCATAAAATCCCATTTTAGCGCGTAGGAAAAAAAGGTACAAAAGCTGTCACTGGGGCAGTATCCTTTCAAAAGGTACTACTAATATGTACTATGTATTTAGGTTTTAATATGTACACTGGAGCTACTAATATGTACCCTAAAGGTACTAATATGCACCTTTTAGGGGTAAATATGGTACAAAGTTGTGCTTTTTGAAAAGGTGTCGCCCTAATGACAGCTTTTGTACCTTTTTTCTGAGAGTGTGGATGTTTATGTAATAATTTATTTGCTTTTCATGCCAGAAAACCGTTTGATTTGAACTGTTGGTTATAATATGATTCATGAAAACAGAAAAGACACAACTGTTGTGCTTATAAAAATGATATTCTGAATCGTCACGCGTGTCTTTTTGGACTGATCATAATGACTTTGAATCATCAAATACGAGTAGCGTCGCACTGCTCTCTACAGGTCATATTGTGAATTGCACTTCATTTTCATGACACAGGACTGGATAGCTACCTGAACTGTCTGTTCCTCATCATCGCTACACTGTAAAAAATGACCGTGAATTTAACGGTAAAAGACTGTAAAAATGCTACAGTAAAAACCTGTTAAATGGTTAACGGTAAATTCCCCTACTATATACGGTGAAAAACTGTATTGGACATTACATGTATTGGACATTAATTTGACGGTAGTATACTGTTTTTGGAAGTGAAAAAGACAGTATAATTTACAGAGAATAACCATAAATTGACATTCCCAGAATTCCCTGCGTTACATTTCAAATTTGATGTTTTTTTTGTTGAAATAACTGTTTCTTCTTAGTTTTTTCTTATCAGTTTTGTATATTAGGGTTGTGTGTTACACCTAATGTTGTTAAATGAATGTTTATTGCATTATTTCAGTTTCATGTGTGTCACCATGATGGTGTTTAGTGTTTGTGTGAATGACACTGTGCACCTTCTATATATGTTAGTATTTAAAAGCTGCTTGTGATGGGCTTTGGTTCATCATGTGACTTTCTCATCACCACCTGCATTTGGTGGTTATCAGTGTATTACAAAGGTACAAAACAGATTTCAGTACTTCAATAGGTTGGTATATTAACACTATATCAGTTACAGTATTTAACTGTAAATTTAAGTTAAAACCGTAAAACCTAAAACGTTGCTACCACATTTTTTACGGTAAAATTCCAGCTACCACAGCTGTCGGTTTTTTACCGTAAATTTTACGGAATTTTTTTTACAGTGTAGTTCTCCTACCTGTCTGACATCAGGTACATTGACGGTCTTCTTGGCGGTGGCCACATGGCCCACAATGCCTGTGTCCAGCGGGTACACGATCTCACTGTCCGGTGGCACCAGACACTCCTCCAGTGTGGCATCTTTATGGACGTTGAAGATTCGTGTGGCCAGTTCAGCTATGCCGTTCCTCTGGCGGTACATGAAGAGGCTCATGCGGTCGGCCCGCATAATAAAAGTGAGATGCCGCATGAGGTTGAACACGGCCCTCTCCATCTGCAGGTTTTCCTGCATGTCCCGCACCATATCGAAAATGATCTCGCACTCTTCAATAGAGCTCAAGTCGTGGTAAGAGCTGATGTCCACTTCTGTTTTCTTGGTGGTCGCTAGAAGGTCGGAGATGACCTTCGCCCGGAACCTGGAGTCATAGTACTGCTTGGCAAAAGTTGGATTACTGTCCAAAAACTTCTCAGCCACATCCTTGTCCACTGCAGTCATTTTTTTAGCTGTCAGTGAAGTGTAACACTTGAAAGGGTTTTCTATATAGGGTTAGAGTTGCCCAAAGCTTCTGTGTTGTCCTATGCACCTGGGCAGCAGGACGGTGAGAAACACTTGGGATTACTGGAGATTGTTTTAAAGAGGCGTCTGTGTGTTCTTATAATCCTGTGTCCAATAGTAATTAGGATTATGACATTCACCTGACAGCAGTCACAGTATGCATAAACACGTGTTGACACAGTTAGTACATCTGGAAAATTAAGAACTTTCTTTAAACATTGAGGTTGCTGCTTGTCTGAATTGTCACTAATTTAGTGTTGCAAACCTGCAAGCCTAAACTCCTGTCTTTCAGTATTATGTACGTGAAAAGCAAATACATAAAGCACCTTTCAAAAGTTTGCGGTTGGTACGATTTTGAAAGAAACTAATACTTTTATTCAGCAAGCTTACATTAAATTGATCAAAAGTGACTGTAAACACTTTTGTAATGTTACAAAAAATATAGATTTCATATGAATGCTGTTCTTTTTTACTTTCTATTCATCAAAAAATAATCAGATAATAATCAGAAATGTTTCTTTAGTCGCAAATCAGCATATTAGAATGATTTCTGAAGGATCATGTGACACTGAAGACTGGAGTAATGATGCTGAAAATTCAGCTTTGATCACAGGAATAAATTATATTTTAAAACATATTAAAATAGAAAACTATTATTTTAAATTTTAATAATATTTCACAATATTACAGTTTTACATTTCAAAAACATATGTGTATGTGCGTGTTTGTGTAGTAAGTATATGATGACAATTGTTTCACTCTACCATTTAGTAATGGCAAACTTTATTTACATAAATACATTTACATTGCTATTAAGAACGCATTATTTATAAAATTCCGTGTACACTGAAAATAGCGTTTAAAACATCTCAAGATCAACTTAATAAAGGCACTTAATATATTTGTTTGAAAAACTGTACAAATGAAATGTCTGTTTTATGTAACTTGTATGTATTTCAAAAAAGGCAAATCTTGACGGCGCTCACTTTGAAAGAGCGCAAGCTTATTCAGTTCAGTGTTTTCATTCTGACGTCAAAAAAGCAGATGGAATTAATAAACGTTGGCCCTGAAAGAGAACGGAAAAAATGCTGAGTGTAAATATCTAGTATTTTAAAAAGGCCTAATACCTTGAGAATTTTGTTGCAAAAATTGCTTCAGTAAATTTCCACTTCCATATATTTATTCTATTCCATGTTCATGTCTTTTCATAACGTGTATGTCTCTTTATAACTATGGGCTAAATATGCTGAAAAACAGAAAATACAGAAGCAGTTACCTTGAAAATACCGAGATGGTCATGAGCCCCAGAAGCAGCTCAAAGCTGTAGAAGCAGAGCAGCACAGCATTGAGCACAAACTCCAGCCGTAACACAAAGGTCTGCAGCAGCAGGTAGTAGACGCTCAGCACTGCACAGGGCACCAGAACAGCAACACTCACAAACAGAGCCAGAGAGCGCTGACACAGGTTCCCCTTCCAGCCTGAACGTCAGAATTTACAGGCCATTATTTGCTACATGCATCAACGCACTTTCACCAGTACAAAGTGTGCACAACAAACAGGGTAATCAATCTTTATCATCCATCTGTTATGATGACATTCATCCACTCATTGCATTAGCAGGGTTGAGAGGTTCAGAACTGAACAGAGAAAGTCTTAAATTACAATTCAGTTCCCGCAATTTTAACTGGATTTAAACTGATGCCACAAACAGGATGTAAAATAAGGATGTTGTTAAATTAGTAAAATAAGTAGTTTTTATGTATTTCCATTTTCATATGAATTACTCATCAACATGATATTGATACTTTTCATTATTTTTTAAAGAGGTCATATGATGCGATTTCAAGTTTCCTTTCTCTTTGGAGTGTTAACACTATATTTTCTTGAATGCTGTAATTTAGCACAATGTCTTCTAAATCAAGCCAAATACTATAAATATAAACAAAATGAAAATGAATGCTGTGATAATGACTTTGACATTTGTATTTAAATGACCGAGAAATACACAACCGTTCAAAAAGTTTGGGGTTGATAAGATTTCTCAATGTTTTTGAAAGATATCTCTATAAAAAATAAAACAGTAAAAACAGTGATATTGTGAAATATTATTAGCATTTAAAATAATTGTGTTCTATTAATGATCTATGGATACATAATGATCTATGAATATATTTTAATTCAATATATATAAGTGTGTAAAACAGTTATGCTGGAAACCGAAATACATTTTTTTTCAGAATCCTTTGATGAATATAAAGTTCAAAAGAACTGCATTTATTTGAAATAGAAATCTTTCGTAAAATTATAAATGTCTTTACTGTCACTTTTGATCAATATAATGCATCCTTGCTGAATGAAAGTATTAATTAACTGTGGATAAAGTATTAAATAGTGTAATTATAAATATTATTTTGCAAAACTTGTGTACGACTAATTCCTCTGTTGTGTGACTGTATTATATGTACTTATACTGTGAATGCATTGTATTTTGAATTAGATTCCTCTTCCCGGCATTTCAATTCAAAGTTCTGAATTCAGTTTTGCACAACCCTGCTCCAAAGAGTGGGCTTCTGAATGAGGACGATTTTAGTCCTCTGAATAAAATAAGAGTTGATTTTACAGCTACTTCAAGAACAGCACACTGACCATAGAAGAGTCTGAGGGTTTCCAGGCCCAAGAAGAGGAGCAGCAGGACAACATCCAATATCAGATTGGCTTGTGGGTAAGGCAGGATCACCCCTACAAACGGCACAGCAAACACCGATTACTTCACATATAAAAAAACATATACATCTCAACCGCTCAACGCTTTATTGAGCCCATACATCACCTTTGTAGATAAACATAAGAATCTCAGCGACGAAGAATGCTGCAAAATACCAGCCGTTCAAGTGAAACAGGATCTGCAGTGGTGTGGAGGACAACTGAGATACTTTGTTAAGAAGCAACATAAACGGTAAACAAAGATAGAGGTGTAATTCAGAAATTTGTAATGGAAGGATACGACAGGTTGTCTTCCTGCAAAAGCAAAATTAAATACTGAATTAATGAACAATGTAGGTGTGTAAGGAGAGACTGGGGCAAAAGCAAAATTAAATACTGAATTAATGAACAATGTAGGTGTGTAAGAAGAGACTGGGAATTGTTGTAACTCCCTCTGTCTCTTTCTGTTTTTGGTCCTAAATCTCTCAAAAATGTACCAACCTCAGACTACAATCATTATCAGTCAATTTAAGATCTGTTATCACAAAGCAAACTTTAAGAAATAATGCTGAATATGTCAAACTAATTAGATAATCTGTTGCAACATGAAATTCACATTCTCATTAAATCCATCTTTTTAAAGGGGTCATATCATGTGGCTAAAAAGAACATTATTTTGTGTATTTGGTGTAATGAAATGTGTTTATGCGGTTTAAGGTTAAAAAAAAACATTATTTTCCACATACTATACATTATTGTTTCTCCTCTATGCCCCCGCCTTTCTGAAACGCGTCGATTTTTACAAAGCTCATCGGTCGGCGTTATGCTAATCTTCCCACATTGTGATGTAGACATGTGGGGGCGTGTTAGAACGAGCCGTTTTAGGTAGGCGTGGTTGACTTTTAACTTTTATAAAGAATATCTCTTTGGATTTGAGACTTTAGTCTTTGCAACTTTACAGATCTTCTTTATGCACCAAGAGCTTGTAACACTCCAAAGAGGAAAACTTGAAATCGAATCATATGACCCCTTTAAATACACAACACTGATTTTAAAATATGAAAATAAATCATACCCGCATTTGATTCAAATTTTTTTTTTTTTTTTTTTTAATACTTGGTAGTTTGGAAACCAGTTTCCGCCACTGAATAATTAATAATAATAATAATAATAATAATAAGTAATTGCGACTTTTATTTCACAATTCTGGCTTTTTTGTTTGTTTGTCAAAGTCCTATTCTCAGGGGAGAAAAGACTGTTTTCTTAGAATTGCGAGTTTATATCACGCAATAGCGAGTTTGTATCTCGCAAATCTGAGAAAAGGTTCAGAATTGTGAGATAAAAGGTCACAATTACATTTTTCTCCAGCGGGCATCCATTCACTAACGTTACCGAAAAGTTAACACTTTTGGAGTTCTTCTCAAACAGCAAAGTTTTGCTGAAACTTTTGAAGTGACTATCAGACAGGAGCAACACATGGGCTTTAACACCTGAAGAATATAGTGGGTATGTAACGTTACACGAATGAATGCAGCTCATGCTTGCTTTACACAACAAGCGATAAAAACTAACGACCCCATGACGCACAATCACCCCAGTCTAGCATTTATATTACATTAAGTGCTCGGTTCATAAGCACATCACAGGCAACTCACTAGAATTCGAGTTCATAAATATTTCCTGGCATCACAAAACGACAGTAGTGTTGTGAATGGCTAGCATTAGCTAGAAGATGCTTGCCCTTCATTCGAATCAAGAGCATTAATTGATCGCTTGTTCTTTACCAAAACGTTTTATTCGGCTTCATAAAAGCCATTCGCTCTGTTCACAATAAAACATAAGTAAATGTGTGCCGACATTAAGCTAAATCCACTCTAGTTAGGATCAAATCCCAAACACCTTTCTGCTTACCGTGTGCGGCCATGTTGAATTGCCATGGAAACGGCATACTGTGGGCGGAGACAACCATCAGCCGTCCAATCAAAACACGCATGAAGAAAACAAGCGCGTTTAGTTGATAACTGTACGTCTTTATTTGAGCAGAAACGATTTTACTGCATTCTATTTTACTTATAAATTGAGTTCAGTACACTGTACGAAAGTACATGCTTTTTAAAGAAAACAACTTTTTGTTGATTACCAGATAAAACCACTGCTGAAACAGAAAGACAACACCGCAAACAGGCTGTAATAATAAAAAAAAAAGACTAAATAAAATTACAATTTCTGCATTACTACTGAATCACTTAATCATTTAACACATATTATGATGTGAATTAGCTACAGTTACGCTATCGTCATGAATGTCTATGAATGATTTCTGTTCCGTGTCATAGTTTATGTGGAACTGTTTCGCTCCTTGTGCTCCTAAGAGAAAAGGAATGAGAAGGCATGTCAGTCTAATCGATCTTATACCACACTAAAGATAGATATGCAAAATAATCATGCAAGTAAAGAAGTCTGTGAAGGTTTGCCTTCAGCTTTTGATGATGCATTGGGGTCCTGCAGTGTTCGTCTTTGGCCTCTTCCTCACTGGCATAGATGGCATTACACAAGCTGCAGAAGTAACCCACCACAGGCCGAACAAACTCTGTCCCTGTTGGTAAAGCACAACAGATCAGTTGAGCAGAAGCAGAGCTGTACGGTCCACATAGCACGACGTCGAGTGCCTTACTAGCTACACATGCTCTTACCCACTGGATCCATCACAGGTGTTTGCATCTCTGACACGATGTCTGAATTTTCCGCCTTCGTTCCGCTTCCTTCATCAGCTGCAGAATCTTGCTTCTCATCTGCCTTTGAGTTGACATCTTGATTATCATTCGAGGACTCCTAAAATCAGTGTAATTTATCATCAAACTCAAGAGTATCAGTAGTTATACAGCACAGCAGCATCTGAAAGCTTGCAAAACAGGGATTTGACCAAAGCCAGGTGGTTAAATTGCAAAAGAGAATGATTCACCTTGACATTCGCTGATGTTTGGATAGACGGCTGCTCAGAAATCGCAGAGATTTGTGTCTTGGATTCATCATTTTCCTCCTCGAACGCAGTAGATGCTTGTAGAGAACCATCACTAGGTCCATGTAGAAAGTACCGAGCAAACAACACAAAACAAATAGGAGTACATTTGGTGTATGGATGCAATGAATGATTTTCATCAATCAGATAACTTTTATGACTTGTGAAAAAATACATTGTTTACATTCAAAAAATTTGCAAATTGAAGACTATAAAAACATATTTAGACCACGCGAAACAGCATGTGGAAAAATGTTTACAAATATGAACGTTACACAACACAAAGTCAAGTGTTTGTCCAGTTTTCAATAAGAGGAACAGTAACACACGACTCAAAGACTTCTATTTCCTGTTACATGTTATAATCCCATTACAGTTACTGTTCTCATAAAAATAGCATTACCTGTGTTAGATGTAGGATTCAATTAAACACTGTGCATTTAAAACCAAAATTTAACGTCCAAAAAATATTTTATCAGAATAAATCATTTTCTCTGTTGTACTCAAGCTGGTTGATATAAAGCTCAGTAATATCTAATGGCGACCTATGATGAGCCTTGTAGCAAAGCACATCTCAAACACACTAAACGGCACACACCTCTGTCCAAAAACCTGACAAAGGCAACTCACATCAAACCCTATGCTTATTATTTCATTTGAATATGAAGTGCTTTTGTGCTTCGAACTGTTTGGGGTTGTGCACTTTTGTCAAGCATTTTTACCCAAAGAAATACATTTTTCACTATTGTTAACGGACATCACTTGACTAATTGTTAATGATGCAGACTATAATCAATTTTGCAGGTCTTGAAATATATATAAATTACTATCAAATACCTTTTATTTAAATGAGCATGTTTGGTAGACACTGAAATCTTGGGATTTTTTCCAGCAACTGTAATTTTATTCATGTTGGCTGCAGCTACAACCTTTTCAGCATCAGAGGCCTTTTTCATTTCAATCAGTCCCTGGGGGGGAAAAAGAAGAACATTTTAAGATTTCATTGATGGAAGCACTGAATCAGCAGTTATATCTACTAACCGTTTGATGGAGGCGAAACATCCAATGGCATACTACCTTTCCATATGGTTCTGCGATGCTCAGGAAATCTGCATCAGTGTACTCATCAGGCATTGGAAGGTTTCTGATCTGGAGAACTCTGCCATACGCTTCCTGAAGTATTGGAAAGCGGCAGAACACCGTGTTAGCTGAGCTGTGTACAATCAATGATTCGGCAATGTATACACGTGTTTTGTGGCCCCCATAAAAAGACATGCACTGCTAAAAAGACACTTTATTTGAGATTCATATTGGACCCTGAGAGAAATTATTTATTGATTTTTACCTCCTCATCACTAGATGCTTGCATGATTGTGTCCATGTTGGTTTCCTTTCCTTCCTGAGCCTCAGCATCTTCTTCAGAGATCTCAGCCATCACTACTGTACTCTCCTCACTGGAAGCCAGTGTGCTTGAGGGCTCCTTATTGTTCTCTTCAATATCTTCCTTAACTTTCTCTTTCTCGGAGTCAATCCTTTGCCTGAAACAGAATCGAATATCATCTGATGTGTTTTTCAGACCACACAAGCACAAAAGGAGAATTAGTCATTTAAATGTAAGCTACCCCTCGTTCAATTGGCTGTATTTCTTTGACACTGTTATCCTTAAGTTTCTGCCACCTAGTTTAATGTGTTGCCTTTTACACTCGGCTTCAAGTTTTGCAGCATCGGCAGCATTCACCATCTCAATTAATGCCTTCTCCACCTGCAATGAAAACGTAATTAACATAATTCTACATATATCACACAGACAAAACCTGCACCTCACATATCATGAACAATTAAGAGTAGAGCTGTAAGAATATCGTAATGATAAAAATCGAATATATCAACAATAAGTTAACTACTTCAGAAAGCCTTAATGAATCGATTCAGAACAAATAGAACTATTTGTTGAATCAGTTTTAATATATGCATAAAAATATTACTGTTTATGTGACATTACGATTAAATATAAAGTTTGTTCGTGGAAAAATGTGGAAAACATGCTTCGTTTTCTTATGTTTAGAAAATAAAATCAAACTGTCTAAATGGTTAAAAATGATTTTAAAAAAAAGAGCAAATACATAGATTGAGCTATATCTGACAAATATCATCAGAAGCTAAAAAAATACCAATAGGCCTATATTTTAAGTCATATCACCTAGCCGTAAGAGGCCCATAACATTCAAGACCAATATGTTTTCAAACGAATTACAAAAATTAGATTGCAAATAAACTGTTTGATATTTTGCTTACACTTTTTCCTTCAATTCAATGTTGAAGTTATGCTTTCATTTGATCACTTTACCTTTCGATTGCTGCGAACTAGACAGCAGCCTGCCACATCTCCGTATTTTTTCCCGATTTTCAGCAAATCTGCTTCACTGTATTTTTTAGCCACTGGAAAACCTGCCACCTCAAGAACTTTGCCAAACTTTTCCTAAAAATAAAATAAAAATAAATAAATAAATAAAAAAGCAACTTAAAGAACTCAAAATCCCTTTGTGCAATTTATAGAAGACATCATAATTTGTGTTCCATATTTACACAATCACAAACCCTTTGAGGGAAAAACAGACTAACCTCAGTGCTTGAAGTCCAGATCTCCTTTTCATCCCCTAAAACAGAATGGACATACTTACTCAATTATATTTGAAATATGGCTAAAGAACAAAACTTTTTTGTAAAACTGTTTTAGGAAAACATGCAGCAGAACTTTACAGCTTTTACGGTTGAATTATTCAATAACTGTGTAAAATAAATACCTTGTTCTGTCAACACTCCCTCCTTATCTAGATTTTCTGAGAAATCTGCTGACTCCTACACGAACAAAACAGACAGATGTGTTTCTTTATCTTTTGTAAATATAGAATGTAACATTATTAGTTATGCATCACTACCAAGTGAAATACTTAAATTGTGAACATTTATATTCAATCAAAGGGGATCAGGAAATTGTCACGTCGCACGAATGAGCACCAAAGCTGCTGGGCCATGACTCTAACAATTATTTGATATCCTTTTCTAGATACTGAGTCCTCAATTTCAAAATGTAGGTAACTGTAACTCTCATTTGCGTTTACCTCCTCCATCTCCACCATATCGCCTTTTTGCTCCCCTTGTTGAAGCTCGTATTGTTCTCCGTGTTGAAGCTCTTTTTGCTCTTCTTGTTTAAGCTCTTTTTGCTGAAGCTCTTTTTGCTCTCCTTGTTGAAGCTCTTTTGGCTCTTCTTTAAGCTCTTGCTTTTCTTGAAGCTCATTTTGTTCTCCGTGTTGAAGCTCTTTATGCTCTTCTTGTTTAAGCTCTTTTTGCTTTTCTTGAAGCTCTTTTGGCTCTTCTTGAAGCTCTTTTTGCTTTTCTTGAAGCTCGTTTTGTTCTCTGTGTTGAAGCTCTCTATGCTCTTCTTGTTTAAGCTCTTTTTGCAGAATCTCTTTTTTCTCAACTTCTTGAAGCTCTTTTGGCTCTTCTTTAAGCTCTTTTTGCAGAATCTCTTTTTTCTCAACTTCTTGAAGCTCTTTTTGCTCTCCTTGTTGAAGCTCTTTTGGCTCTTCTTTAAGCTCTTTTTGCTTTTCTTGACGCTCGTTTTGTTCTCCGTGTTGAAGCTCTTTTTGCTCTCCTTGCTGAAGCTCTTTTTGGCTCTTCTTTTTTTTCTCAACTTCTTGAAGCTCTTTTTGGTTTTCTTGAAGTACTTTTTGCTTATTCTCAAGCTCTTTTTGCTCGTCTTGAAGCTCTTTTGGCTCTTCTTGAAGCTCTTTTTGCTCTCCTTGTTGAAGCTCTTTTTGCTTTTCTTGAAGCTCTTTTTGTTCTCCTTGTTGAAGCTCTTTGGCTTCCTTACAATCGCTTGATCTATCTGAAGTTGTAGCAGTTGGTACATGCTCTGACGTCTCTGGCTGTATGCTCGATGTGTCCATGTCTGAAGGTTTAGTCTGATCATCTGACTCGTTCACAGCTTGGACATCTTCAGATGCATCCTGTTCCTGTTCATCTGAGGTATCATGCACCTCATCATCCATCTCTTCATCTACTGTGAGCTCATCTTCTGAATTCAGTGCCTCACCATCATCTGCTATAACTGCCACTCCTTCAAGATCACTATCATCAGCCATGACGTTTGTTCTCCGTGTTGAAGCTCTTTTTGCTCTCCTTGCTGAAGCTCTTTTGGCTCTTCTTTAAGCTCTTTTTGCTTTTCTTGACGCTCGTTTTGTTCTCCGTGTTGAAGCTCTTTTTGCTCTTCTTGTTTAAGCTCTTTTTGCCGAATCTTTTTTTTCTCAACTTCTTGAAGCTCTTTTTGGTTTTCTTGAAGTACTTTTTGCTTATTCTCAAGCTCTTTTTGCTCGTCTTGAAGCTCTTTTGGCTCTTCTTGAAGCTCTTTTTGCTCTCCTTGTTGAAGCTCTTTTTGCTTTTCTTGAAGCTCTTTTTGTTCTCCTTGTTGAAGCTCTTTGGCTTCCTTACAATCGCTTGATCTATCTGAAGTTGTAGCAGTTGGTACATGCTCTGACGTCTCTGGCTGTATGCTCGATGTGTCCATGTCTGAAGGTTTAGTCTGATCATCTGACTCGTTCACAGCTTGGACATCTTCAGATGCATCCTGTTCCTGTTCATCTGAGGTATCATGCACCTCATCATCCATCTCTTCATCTACTGTGAGCTCATCTTCTGAATTCAGTGCCTCACCATCATCTGCTATAACTGCCACTCCTTCAAGATCACTATCATCAGCCATGACGTCAGACTGATCGTTGTCGTCTTCAACAGTCTCCTCCACACTCTCTACTGTTTTTGTTTTTTGTTTCTGGTCTTTAGAAGGAGTGCTTCTTTTAGAACGGGATTTGGATGAGCTGTCCCGTTTTGAGCTCTCTTTGGTTCTCTCCCGTGAGCGTCCACTTTCTTCTCGTTTCTTAGAGTCTAGACTCCTGCGAGACCTGGACCTCTCCTCAGAAGCTCTTCGTTTGGGGCTGGGAGAATCTCTGTGGGATCTCCTTCTTGGGCTGCAACTCCTCCTCCTTCTCCTGCTGCTATAAGGTACTGGTGATTTTTCTTTGTCAGCATCCTTCATACTAGACCATTAAGAGAAAAAACATGTTATTTTAGAAGTAGAGTGGAAAAAATGTGCACCAAATTAAGGTCAAGTGTGTAATGTCACTGGCGTTACACCGTGTCCTAACTACATGCGCCGCAAAGCGATAAAAGGTATCTTTTCCATGTTAATCAGAGTTTTTGTCCTAACCAGCCACGAAGGCAACACACAGTTTCTATTTTAGCAACCCTCTCGGATGGAACAACATACAAACTATGACAACGCTATTCTCAAGTACTGATTATGTGTTTTATTCAATGTTAAAAGTGAGTTTGAATATCATTTTGCAAGACATTTATAGCCATACTGAAAGCAACAATAGATCTTGAAAATAAATTGAAGCAAACGTGTAGACTGTTAAGACTGTGAACTCAATGCGAACCAACAAGCGTATTCCATAACAAAGATGGTATCAGTCACTCAGTATTTACTTTAAATAATGTTTAAAAGCTTTAATATTAGATAATTAGATGATAAACTTGTCCATTTCGTTGGGAGTGCAGTGCGCTTCTGAATGGCTGTGATATTTGAGTGATTGTCGCGTTGCGTCTGGTTAGGACATTGTGTTACCCAACAAAACAGTCCAAATGCATAAAAAATGGTGTCTACATAAGATCAGCAAAACACGTTTACCCAAGTGTCTGGTACTCAGTTGAGGAGCAAACGTTAATGGTTTTTCCTTTTATTTTGAGTGCATTGGTTGAATAATGCTCCACCAATTTGTTGGCCTCTTCCATGCTGCCCATCTCCACATAACCCTGCAAAAAGGCACAGAGTCTTTATACTTTATAGGTGACTGAAGAGAAAAAACATGCCATAAGAATAACTAAGTAAAATATTTGTATAATAATAAGTCTGGCTACCCGGCTTGGGAGAAACAGTGAATTTTTTACTGATCCGAAACGCTTAGCAATGGCCGTCAACTCCGAGCGTATGCCATCTCCAGAAGGTAGCGGTGAAAAGCTCACTACACAAGATGTCTGTGAAACATGAAGGAAATCATTCAATCACCATTGGTGGCAAACATTTAAACTAAAACAAATCAAATGGATGCAAGTCACTTTTGAAGGTGCCGTTAGTAACTTCTGAATGGAATGGCACTTGGAAAATATCTCTGATCCCTTCTTAATAAAATAATATTAGGTGGCACAAGTTTCAAAATGGTTAACATCGCTTACAAGCAGGAGTTTTGAAACTGGTTCAATGAAAATTTTAGAGAAAAACTATTTACCGTTTCTTCTTCCTAAAGACTAGTTAAAAAACATCATGAGCTCAAATCACATATTTTACAATAATTTATTTTAGTATTACCTCGGTGACAATATAACAACTAATTAATTTAAGAAACAACATGTTGTCTTTCTAATATCACACTTAATATTTTCTCATACTGCATAAATGGGTTTTACACATATGTGGCCGTATTTATATTTTAGGATATTTGGTGGGCCACGGCATCAAAAAGTCCTGGCTTACAGCACCTTCAATCTTTCATTTGATGAGCATTTAACAAAATTGTGCTGATCATTACTCACCTGTAGGAAACTGACTGCTGCAGACAGAGTAAATTCGATCAGTTCTCCTTTGATCCTCAAAGGGTTTTGGTAGAAATATTTTACTATATCCTCTGCCTGGCCTGCTGTTCCCATATTCACAAAAGCCTAAAAAATATTACAGGAAAAAATTATTACAGCCCATTTAAAAATCAGATTCATATATTTGTTAAAGGAGTTATATATATTAAAAAATAAAATGCCATACCATTCTAGGTAAAACAATAATTTTGACAATAGCCCCAAACTGGCCAAGCAATTTTTTCAGGTAAGCTTCATCTAATTCATCCACTTCAAACTTGACACACACCACTTTGCACTGTAATTAAATGTAGTAAAATAAATAAATACAATAATGTCTGAACATCAGAACAGCAGTAAGCGAAACAGAACATCAAAAATAAAAATCTACCTTCGATTCAGTATTATTGCGGTTTTGACTGCTTGATGATGCACGTCTACTGCTCGACGCTCCACTTCTGCTGCCTAACGATCCATTTCTACTGCTTGAGGTTCCACCTGAACAAAAAGCCCCACACCTATAATATCTAGAAGATGCTCAAATGAGTATGAAGAGGATAAAGACTTTACCTCGTTCCTGTGTTGTTCTAGACGCGAGTCGATCAGAATGGGGCTCATTTCTGTTAAAGTGTATATGTTTAGCATGTAAGCCAACACATTTATTGAAATGTGCTGTTTTATGACATATAGTGAGGGAATGATTCTACCTTCGAGCAGACTGGATTGTCTGATCCCACGCTGGATATCTAATGAACAAGGATATTTGTGTAGAACATTTATTTACAACTGAGCATTTTGGGAGTTGCTTTTATCTAAAGGTTTCAATAAATTCAAGGTTTGCATTATATCAGTGTGTGAGCGGAACTAAACCCATGCAGTTGTTAGTATCATGCTACTGTTAACTTGAAAACATCAAGGTGGAAAATACAAAATACTAGCCTATTACTTTATAAAATGTGTGGTGAAGAATTGCACATGCTTTGTCTGTAAATTGACTAATGCTTCATGTTAAGTCTGTTATCATCCTCACTATCACCAAATGTGTTTTATAAACCGCTTGAATTTCATGTTTGGCAGAAAACATTATTTAGTGACAACATGACTGCGCAGGCGCTTTAGAAAACAATTAAAGAATAAAGTTGCGGATACTTACTTTTCCACAAGACTAAGTTGACTATGCGCATGTTGGGCTCCTTTTATATGCACGGACCAGTCCTAAAACACAAGTCATATATCTAAATATTCGTTCATGAGGCATTAAAATATATAATATGACAATCAAAGTACATTTATAGTTCATATGGTTAAGAAACTTCCATCAATTTTAAACGAAAGTATTTACAAGTCATGTATACTTCTGTGCCAATGAGTTTTTCCACACCCTCTAACTGCATATGCTATTAAAATGTACAGATCTTGAATTTGGGGTATTTGCTCTCTTATCAAAGGAAATCAAACAAAAATGACCATCATATCAAGAACACAGTCAATTATCAAGTCATTATTCAGTGAAAATTGTTCCTTCCAATATATCCCTTAAATCTCATTCCCACTAGCGCATATTCATAATTGTTGCATCAAGATGCATCACACCCAAGTATGACTTCATTGGCCAGTGACTCCATTGGTTCTTGCATGTCTTGTGACCGAACATGATGTGGCATATTTGCATATGAGGAAGCGGAAATGAGATTCGGGAACTACGGCAGTGGGATAATGACTTCATACAGTGCACGAGTCGAATGGACTGCTTTTATGTTACTTTCTGTCTTTATCAGGCTCGATACAACATGACTGCGAATGGTGAACTACACCTTTAATGCATTACTACCTATGTGGATAATAAACATACTACTTGGACTTACCTCATATGCCACAGTACGCTCATGTGTATTTTGCTTGAAACTGTCTAGTAAATAGCTGGTAAAGTAGAATCTGTGAGAGCGAAAAAAGCTACTTACCTTGTCAGAGAGGACAGTGATATCGCAGAGCACGCATGCGTAGGGAAATACTGGTGGAGTTTTCCCGTGGAAATCTGACGCCTCCTTCCTGGTAGGCACTCTATGAGCCGACTCTGTCCTCCGGTGGTGTGACGATTGACCAACGTCTCTGCTGGACAGGTGCGAGGGTGGAGCAAGGTCTCTGATGGACAGGAGCGAGGGCAGACCGACGTCTCTGCTGGACAGGAGAGAAGGTGGAGCGATGCCTCTGCTGGACAGGAGCGAGGGTGGAGCGGCGTCTCTGTTGGACAGGAGCGAGGATGGAGCGGCGTCTCGGCTGGACAGGAGTGACGGTAGACCAACATCTCTGCTCGACAGATGTGAGGACTGGCCAATGTCTCTACCGGACAGATGTGAGGACTGGCCAATGTCTCTACCGGACAGATGTGAGGAGTGACTGACATCTCTGCTAGAGCGATGAGACGACTGACTGACATCTTTACTGGACAGATAAGAGGACTGACTGACATCTCTGCTAGAGCGGTGGGAGGATTGACTAGCATCTCTACTGGACAGATGTGAGGAATGACTGCCGTCTCTGCTGGACAAATGTGAGGATTGACTAACGTCTCTGCTGTGGCTAGAGTAAGACTGCGGGACAACGGACGTTTTCTGCCTCGACTGTTCTGTGGCACAAGACGCTTTATCAAAATAAGACTCTTTGTCTTTCAGATGGTTGTACTCAACCACATAGTTCGACTCAGAACTGGTGTACGTGCATGATGGAGAGCTTGTTTGTTGGATGTTTTCCCAGCGGTCGTCCCAGGTTGGAAGCTGCTCTCGAGGAATGGAATATGACTGACGGACAGGCAAATCCAATGGATACTCAACCAGCTGAGTGTGGCTCCTGTCGTCCCAGGAGCGAGATGACGAACTGGCTTGGAGCGCACTGGACATAGATGAAGAAGTGCTGGACGCTTTCTTCTTTTTGATCTGTGCAAGAAGGTCAGGAAGGGTATCGGCTGCGATGAGATGCTCGGGAAGCTCGGCCAGAGTTTGAAGGTCTTCAGCATCCAGTCCACAGCTATGCAGAAAAGACAAAGCCTTAACAGAAGAGAGGACAGGTTCTGATGAGGATGGAGACGTCTGCTCTGGAGATGCGCCCCTAATTCGCGACCTGTAAGCGGTAGACTCCCGGTGATAAATTCGTTGCGAGTCTTTGTACTTGTCATTGCTTGCGCTGTAATCATCAGCTGGGTTTCGGTACGGATGATTGTAAGACATGTTCCAAAGTTCCAAGTGGTCAAATGATTATAGGACCTCAAAAAAAGCAGCTCTTGTAGGGGCAGTTGCTGTTCACCTGTTAAAAAAGATGTTAAGTAAGGAGACTTTGTTCTCCTTATATTGATACTACATTACTGAAGAGATGGGCTCCAGGTGGAAGATCTGCCGGTGAATCCGGTGAGGTGTGTCACCTGTATCAGTCTTACCTTGAGATGAAAAATCAAATCATTCATACTTTGTGGATGTCTCTGGATTTGCTTTATAAAACTTCAGCTGTATCAGACCAGTAATTAATGTAACTTGTAGATGACAAATGTCCATGAACTTAGTTAAAAAAACATGTATAAGGGAAGGCAACTTTAACTGTTACGTTTTTAAATCACCTTCTCTTTCAACATGCATTTATAATGCCTGTAAATTAATATATAAGGACGGCTAATGTCCGTCCCGTGCACTGAAAGCTCTCTCCTCCACATCATGAGTAGACACGCCCCTTATTGCTGATTGGCTACAAGTTTGTTTTGCGATTCGGCCCGAATCAGTTTTTAAAGCGTTTTTGAAAAATCACTTACACTGCCTTTAAGAGATGTTCCAGCATGAGTACTTAATTTCTTCGGCTTGTTACTCTGTGCTTTAGCTTCCTCCTCTTCCAAATATTTCAGTTGAGGAAAAAATAAATAAACAGAACAGAATTTGTTTCAAAAACATATTGTATAACAACTTCTCAATTAGTGAGGTCAAAACTACTTTGGTTCTGCATTTTAGCATATCCTGATTACAACAACTTCTTGCAGACACCATGTAAACAAGATATTTGTGCAGTGTAATCATAATCCTTTTATTATTATTATTATTATTATTATTATAACTGGAGTTTTCACAAGAGTGCAGAACTCAGTTTACTCATGCTAAACTGAAGTGACTGACAGCTTCATTGATTACATTTACATTTAGTCATTTAGCAGACGCTTTTATCCAAAGCCACTTACAAATGAGGGCAATGGAAGCAATCAAAATCAACAAAAGAGCAATGATATGCAAGTGCTATAACAAGTCTCAGTTAGCTTAACGCAGTACACGTAGCAGTTTTTTTTTTAAATAATATAATAAATAAAAAGAAAACAGATAGAATAGAAAAAGAATAGAGCAAGCTAGTGTTAGAGGTCTTTTTTGCTTTTGTTAATTGTATAATAAATGAAAAGAAAACAGATAGAATACAAAAAGATTAGAAAGCAAATGTTAGTTTTTTTTTTTTTTAAGAAAACAAGCAGCAAATGAATAGAGTGCAAGTCTAAAAGGGATTACAAAGGGAGCAGTCTTTGCTCACTTTCTGTAATGCAAACTTTAATATCAAATGCCTGGCTTTGAGAAACAAATTATTAGCAAAATCAAAGCCATCTTACCAACTGGGACATTATTAAGAGTAGCACGGCTAGTTTCTAGCTTTATTTGAGGTGGTGCTGGTGTAGTGCCTTTTTCCCCAGTCTTCACACTCTTCTCTGATACAACAGAGAAAGAAGTAACAGTCTCTTCATCTTCAGCCTCCTGGTCAAAGGACAGCAAAGGAAAGCAGTGGATAAATCTCTGTCTGCTGCATGGGGTTCCTGTCTGAGATGTATCTCTCAGAGTCTCCTAAAACAACCCATCATGCCGTTTGATGTTGTAAATCAGATTTAGTGCACCCTGTCATGGTATGCACTACACAAGACAAATAATATAATGATATATATATATATATATGTATATGTGTGTGTGTGCGTGCGTGCGTGTGTTTTATATATATACGGTGGAGATCAACCTACAAAAATTAGAGAACAACTTATAATTTCCTATAAAGGTCACTGATTAGTCCTATTTGATCTTATCCCAACATGAATAGAAGGGTAGTTTTTTAAGCATATTTCATAAATGTATTGTATTCTGAAGCAGAGTATAAAATTTTTTTTTTTAATTATTTGAAAAACAACTCTGATCAAAATTAGAGAACACTTACAGATACCTCCAGTTATTGGTGTTAATCTGGCACCTGGTACTAATTTCCTTAATTATGTGACAAACCCTATTAAACTGGCAGCATTCCTCTAATTTTCACTGAGATTGCAAGATGGCGGGCCGCTCTAAGGTGACTGAAACCCTGCGACAGGATGTTGTCCAGATGAAGGCTAAAGGGATGACCCTTTCAGCCACTGCAAGAGAAGTTTGTCATTCCAAATCTGTGATTTCTAGAATATTGCAGCTTTACAATGACACTAATTCATTCAAGTCCCCCAAAAAGGCTGGTCGTCCACGTAAGACAAACGCAGGAGAAGACAGGATAATGCGGAGACTGTCAATAGCGAATTGGTTCAACACTGCAGCTGGAATTGCTCTCCAGTTTAGCTCTGAACAGGGTAAGGATCTGTCTCGGCACGTTTAAGAGAAGTTGGACTGAAAGCGCACTCTGCAGTGACCAAGCCTCTCATCAGCAGAGAGAATCAGAAGGCTGAGCTCATCTTTGCTGAGGAGCATGTTGTGTGGAGAGAGGAGAACTGGTCCAAAGTTCACTTTAGTGATGAGAGCAAGTGTAATTTATTTGGGTCCGATGGGAAACATTATGTTCGGAGTCAAACTGGGGAAAGACTGAACCTAGAGTGCGTAAAGAAAGGTGGAGGAGGAAGTGTCATGGTTTGGGGGATGTTTGGAACTCTTATACAGATACATGGCAGGTGAATGCAAAAGTTTATCAGAACCTCCTTCAGCAACATGTGGTTCCTTCCCTGCAAACATCTCCTAATCAGCCTGCAATTTTCATTTAAGACAATGCCCCTGTCACACTGCAAAACGGGCAAAGCAGTTTCTTAAAGCCAAGAACATTGAACTAATGAAATGGCCGGTCCAGAGTCCTGATCTAAACCCAACTGAAAATCTCTGGAAAATCCTCGGCGACAAAGTTATGGCTAAGAAACCCACTACAGTCCGAACTATGGAAGAGACTGGAAGAAGAGTGGACCAAGATCACACCAGCGCAGTGTGAGAAACTAGTGATATCTTGCGACCGCAGATGTGCTGAAGTCACTCAAAGCGAGGGCCTCTACACTTCCTACTAATTTTTGACAGCTGTAAGTAACCCTCCAAAATTTTGTAATCTTCTTTCGCGCTACAGTGGTTACTGTTCTCTAATTTTGATCACCGTGTTTGCCACAAAATAAAGGTTTTTGTTGAAATGCCTTGGTTATTTTGGCAAACATGTTAGTAGAACAGTGGTATACTCAAAGCTAATATTACTTAAAGGGGTCATCGGATGCAAAATTCACTTTTGTTGTTGTTTGCTGTTCTGAGATTCCTGTCAGAGTGACGTAGTTCTGTACAGGCCCCTCCCACGATAGTTGATTGACAGTAGCGTTTCAGCACAGACTGGACTGGTGTCTTACCTTAGACCCGCCCTGACTGAGCTGTCATCAGTCTGCCATTGTGTCAACTCCGGTGCAGGGGAAGACAAGAATGTCTCCGATTAAGCTATTGAGGTGTTTTGTTGTTGGATGTAATAATTAATATAGCAGTCGTCATTTAAGCCGCGGTCACACTGCACTTTTCGTTCCATTGACTTCCATTCATACGCATGCGAATCCATCAGACCGGATATGCAAGCCCGTGCCAAAAGTTTTCGCATTTCGCTGCGTTCCAAAGTCAAATTCTGGCCTGCGAATTCGCATCACGTGATCCCGTGCGAGGCAGATCGATATATGACCTCGTATCTGAATTAAAAGAACATAAATTTAAAACCGCTGCGCTGCAGGAAAGTGGAGTAGATTGTATGTTTTTACATTTTAGATGTATTATAATTTGTGTTGAATTTAAGTTTTTAAAAAGATGCTGCAGAGCATGACGTCATATCACGACCGTTGCTGCGTCTGAACGAATTCTGCAAAGTGTGACCGCAGCTTTACTCCTGACATCTAAGACGCAGAGGATTAACGTTACTTTCGTTTTGAAGTGAATGCGCTGATCCCCGATCTGCCTAAATGCGTCTGTTCGCGTGAGTGAGTATAAGGTTTTTTTTTTTTTAATGAAACTTTGCAAATCGCCTTCCCTAATAACGTGCTAGTTAGCAAGTTCAGTGGCTAAAGTAAACCATATCATGAGAACGGCTCGTCACCCACGGAAGAGAGGGGCGGGGTCAGCAGAGCTCATTAGCATTTAAAGCAACATGGACTAGAACGGCGTGCTGAAAACAGAGCTGATTTTGACAGGGTAAAAAGGGTGTTATTTACAAAGGGTGTTTATAGACTTTTCATGAAGACCCTAAAGAATCATATCAACTTGTGGAAAATGGGCATCCGATGACCCCTTTAAAAACCGTGTTGGGGAGTAACTAGTTACATGTAACGGAATTACGTAATTTAATTACAAAATAAATGTAACCGTAAACTGTTACATTTACTGAGAAAACATGTGTAATTAAATTACAGTTACTTATGAAAATGTTAACGATTATAAAGGGGGTTACATCTGAATATTTTCACATGCAGATTTGATTTATTTCTTTCCCAAATTGCATTGACTGCTCTAAAATATGAGACACCAATGTTTCAGGTGACAGATAGGACTGTGTCCTATTTAGGACACATGCTTATTTGATAACCGTTTTATTTCCTATTTGGATTTTCTATTATGCATATGCTTTATTTTTTAAGATTAACTGATCTACTGCACTTCTGAATCAAACCTAATTTGCAGCATAACTCGTTAAGTTTCGTACAGCTCAGTTGTAAACAGCGCTCCCGGTTGTATCGTAAACACGTCAAATCTTGCCGTAAAACGCGCATGCGTCAAGATTCATTCATGCCCTTCCCTCGAATGTAGCAAAAGGGCTTAACATTTTTGTGAATGTACAGTTAAAACGTTTAGTCCTAATGCTACAACCATGTAATTTATTCTTACAGTAAAACATCTCTTTTATACCATCCCTGCTGGAAAAAAACACAGCTAAAACCAGCCTAAGCTGGTTGGCAGGTCTTAGCTGGTTTAAGCTGGTCTCTCAGCCTGACCAGCTAGAGAAGTGGCCAAAACCCCTCTAAAACCAGCCTGCTGACCAGCTATGACCAGGCTGGACAACCAGCTGTTTTCTTTTTCAGCAGGGATATAAATGCATAATTTCCTGTAAATGCATCAAAAAGCCGCTGTATAAGTAGCAGTTACTTGTTGAATTCTGAATAAGATAAAAATTAACAATTATTTCTGAATAGTGGTGTTTTAATTCAATCCCAAAGCACAAATATACCCATATATCTATAGAATGGTATATAAAACAAATTTATAAGGGGGGAAAAAAAAAACTGTAGATAATAAACCAGCGCCATGGTGGGCCCCAAGTGATCATGGGTTTAGGGTGTTTACAAA